AGCAGTCATCAAAACTCCCAACAAACAAGAGCTCAGGGCCTGATGGCTTCCCAGGGGAATTCTACCAAACATTTAAAGAAGAATTAATAACTTTTCTTCTGAAACTGTTTGAAAAAATAGAAATGGAAAGAAAAATTTCCAAACTCATTTTATGAGGCCAGCATTACCTTGATCCTAAAACCAGACAAAGACCCCATCAAAAAAGAGAATCACAGACCAATACCCCTGATGAACATGGATGCAAAAATTCTCACCAAAATACTAGCCAGTAGGATCCAACAGTACATTAAAAGGATCATTCACCATGACCAAGTGGGATTTATTCCTGGGCTGCAAGTTTGGTTCAACATCCACAAATCAATCAATGTGATACAATACATTAATAAAAGGAAGAACAAGAACCATATGATCCTCTCAATAGATGCAGAAAAAGCATTTGACAAAGTACAGCATCCTTTCTTGATTAAAACTCTTCACAGTGTAAGGATAGGGGGTATGTACCTCAATATCATAAAAGCCATCTATGAAAAACCCACAGCGAATATCATTCTCAGTGGGGAAAAACTGAAAGCTTTCTCCCTAAGGTCAGGAACACGGCAGGGATGTCCACTATCACCACTGCTATTCAACATAGTACTAGAAGTCCTAGCCTCAGCAATCAGACAACAAAAAGAAATAAAAGGCCTCCGAATCGGCAAAGAAGAAATCAAACTCTCACTCTTTGCAGATGATATGATACTTTATGTGGAAAACGAAAAGACTCCACCCCCAAACTGCTAGAACTCATACAGGAATACAGTAGAGTGGCAGGATATAAAATCAATGCACAGAAATCAGTTGCATTTCTATACACCAAAAACAAGACAGAAGAGAAATTAAGGAGTTGATCCCATTTACAATTGCACCCAAAACCATAAGATACCTAGGAGTAAATCTAACCAAAGAGGCAAAGGATCTGTACTCAGAAAACTATAGAATACTCATGAAAGAAATTGAGGAATATGTAAAGAAATGGAAAAGTGTTCCATGTTCATGGATTGGAAGAACAACTATTGTGAAAATGTCTATGCTACTTAGAGCAATCTACACATTTAATGCAATCCCTATCAAAATACCATCAACTTTTTTCAAAGAAATGGAACAAATAATCCTAAAATTTGTATGGAACCAGAAAAGACCCCAAATAGCCAGAGGAATGTTGAAAAAGAAAAGCAAAACTGGTGGCATCACAATTCTGGACTTCCAGCTCTATTACAAAGCTGTCATCATCAAGACAGTATGGTACTGGCACAAAAACAGACACATCGATCAATGGAACAGAATAGAGAGCCCAGAAATGGACCCTCAACTCTATGGTCAACTAATAATCCACAAAGCAGGAAAGAATGTTCAATGGAAAAAAGACAGTCTCTTCAACAAATGGTGTTGGGAAAATTGGACAGCCACATGCAGAAGAATGAAACTGGACCGTTTCCTTACACCACACACAAAAATAGATTGAAAATGGATGAAAGATGTAAATGTGAGACAGGAATCCATCAAAATCCTTGAGAAGAATGCAGACAGCAACCTCTTAGACCTCAGCCACAGCAACTTCTTCCTAGAAACATCGCCAAAGGCAAGGGAAGCAAGGGCAAAAATGAACTATTGGGACTTCATCAAGATAAAAAGCTTTTGCACAGCAAAGGAAACAATCAACACAACCAAAAGACAACCGACAGAATGGGAGAAGATATTTGCAAATGACATATCAGATAAAGAACTAGTATCCAAAATCTATAAAGAACTTATCAAACTCAATACCAAAGGAACAAATAATCCAGTCAAGAAATGGGCAGAAGACATGAACAGACATTTCTGCAAAGAAGACATCCAAATGGCCAACAGACACATGAAGAAGTGCTCAACATCACTCGGCATAAGGGAAATATAAATCAAAACCACAATGAGATACCAACTTACACCAGTCAGAATGGCTAAAATTAACAAGTCAGGAAACGACAGATGTTAGTGACAATGCACAGAAAGGGGAATGCCCCTACACTGTTGGTGGGAATGCAAGCTGGTGCAGCCACTCTGGAAAACAGTATGGAAGTTCCTCAAAAAGTTGAAAATAGAGCTACCCTATGACCCAGCAATTGCAGTACTGGGTATTTACCCCAAAGATACAAATGTAGTGATCTGAAGGGGCATGTGCACCCCAATGTTTATAGCAGCAATGTCCACAATAACCAAACTATGGAAAGAGCCTAGATATCCATCAATAGATGAATGGATAAAGAAGATATGATATATATATGTGTATATATATGTATGTATACATATATATACACATACATGTATAATGGAATATTATGCAGCCATCAAAAAAGGAAGTCTTGCCATTTGCAATGACATGGATGGAACTAGAGGGTATTATGCTGAGCAAAATAAGTCAATCAGAGAAAGACAATTATCATATGATCTCACTGATATGTGGAATTTGAGAAACAAAGAGGATCATAGGGGAAGAGAGGAAAAAATGAAACAAGATGAAACCAGAGAGGGAGACAAACCATAAGAAATTCTTAATCTCGGGCACCTGGGTGGCTCAGATGGTTAGGCGTCTGCCTTCGGCTCAGGTCATGATCCCAGGGTCCTGGGATCGAGTACCGCATCGGGCTCCCTGCTCCTTGGGAGCCTGCTTCTCCCTCTGCTTCTCTCTCTCTCTCTGTCTCTCATGAATAAATAAATAAAATCTTAAAAAAAAAAAAAGAAATTCTTAATCTCAGGGGGTGCCTGGGTGGCTCAGTCGTTAAGCATCTGCCTTCAGCTCAGGTCATGATCCCAGGGTCCTGGGATCGGGCCCTCTGTTGGACTCCCTTCTCTGTGGGAAGCCTGCTTCTCCCTCTCCCACTCCCCCTGCTTGTGTTCCCTTTCTGGCTCTCTCTCTTTCTGTCCAATAAATAAAATCTTAAAAAAAAAAAAAAAGAGAGAGAGAGAGACTCTTAATCTCAGGAAACAAACTGAGGGTTGCTGGAGTGGAGGGGGATGGAGGGATGGGGTGGCTGGGGGATGAACATTGGGGAGGGTATGTGCTATGGTGAGCACTGTGAATTGTGTAAGACTGTTGAATCACAGACCTGTACCCCTGAAACAAATAATACATTATATGTTTAAAAAAAAAAAGAAAAAGAAAATGCACAGCAAAAAAAAAAAAAACAAAACCCCAAACAAACATTGTGCTAGATAACAAAGCCAGCCACAAAAGGCCCCTTATTGTATGATTTCATTTATATGAACATGCCAACCAGAATAGACAAATCCATAGAGGCAGAAAGTAGATTAGTACTTACTGGGGGTTGGGGTAGCCGGGTGTGGATGGGGAGTGACTGCTAATGGGTATAAGGCTCCTTTTTGGAGTGATGCAAATGTTCTGGAATTAGATAGTAGTGAATATACCAAAAAAACTACTGAATTTAGAAGGGTGGATATCATGGAATGGGCACTGTATCACAAAAAAAAAAAAAAAAAGAAAGAGAGAGAAAACAATATACTAAGTTCTGTTGTAAATTTCAGTTAGGTTATTTACATTTTTAAAAAAGATTTTATTTATTTATTTGACAGAGAGAGAGAGAGAGAACACAAGCAGTGGGAGCTGCAGACAGAGGGAGAAGCAGGCTCCCCGCTGAGTAGGGAGCCTGATGCACCAGATCCCAGGACCCTGCCATCATGACTTGAGTAGAAGGCAGACGCTTAATGGACTGAGCCACCCAGTCCATTAAGAAGGAGCCCCTTCTTATTTACATTTAAAAAACCCCCACATTTATTTATTTTAGAGAGAGCACTCGGGTGGGTAGGGGGAGGGGAAGAGGGAGAGAGAATCTCAAGCAGACTCTCTGCTGAGCACGGAGTCCAATGTAGGGCTCAATTTCAGGACCCTGAGATGATCTGAGCTGAAACCAAGAGTCGGATGCTCAACGGACTGAACCAGCCAGGTGCTTCCTATTTACATTTTGTAGGAATTTAGGGATCTGGACTCAAAAATGAGTTTGTTGTTTTTTTGTCTCTGATCTAGTTCAGGTGTTGATGCTAAATCAAAAGGCAAGAAGGAGAGAGGTGAAGTGCAGGTCTGAGATGAGGGTCTGGCATTTGTGGCTCCCCAGGTCTACTATGTGGACATAGCAAAAGAGCTTGGGCTGCAGACCAGCCAGCTCCAGACTTGCTCAGCCTAGCCTTCTAGAATTCTCGCTGCCCCTTGCCGCCCTCTCCCACCGTCCTTTCACAAGCCACTATCGTCTGTGTCTGAGCTACTGCAACCACCTCCTGCTTCATTCGTTCCAGAAATAGCTACTGAGCACCTGCTAGTGCCGGGCATTGTTCAGGTACTGGGGAGCAGGAGGGCACCAAACACACAAAAGTTCCTGCCCTTAGGAGCTGACATTTCAGCAGAGAGACAGCCCTAAACAAATGAATCCGCAGATTATTTCACGGGTGAGAAAAATGGTGAGTACGCTGACGACAGAGAAGGAAAGTGGGGAGGGAGTGGTGGGTGGAGGAGGTACGACGTTGTTGTTTTTTTTAAGATTTTATTTATTTATTTGAGAGAGGGAGAGAACAAGCACGACGGGCGGAGGGGGGAGGGGCAGAGGCAGAGGGAGAAGCAGGCTCCCCGCCGAGCAGGGAGCCCAACGCGGGACTGATCCCAGGATCCCGGGATCATGACCTGAGCCGAAGGCAGACGCTTAACTGACCGAGCCACCCAGGCGCCCCAGGAGGTACGGTTTTTTTTTTTTTTAAAGATTTTATTTATTTATTTGAGACAGAGAATGAGAGACAGAGAGCATGAGAGGGAGGAGGGTCAGAGGGAGAAGCAGACTCCCTGCCGAGCAGGGAGCCCGATGCGGGACTCGATCCAGGGACTCGATCCAGGGACTCGATCCAGGGACTCCAGGATCATGACCTGAGCCGAAGGCAGTCGCTTAACCAACTGAGCCACCCAGGCGCCCCAGGAGGTACGGTTTTAAGTTCGGAGGTGAGGAAGCTTCATTGAGAGGCTATGGTCTGTCTGCGCAGTTAGGCACAGGTGAGGGAGCGAGCGGTGTGGCTATCTGGGGGAGAGGTGTTCCAGGGGGAGGAACGGCCACTGCAGAAAAACTTAAGGGAAGAGTGGCCTGGAGTGGTCCTGTGCAGAGAAAAGCAAGGAGGCCAATATGGCTGGGGGAGGAGTGGGGGGAGGGACGCAGTGAGGTCAGAGGGGGAAGGGGAAGAGGACACTTAAAGACATCCGTTCTCTCCTCTCTAAAACCTTCCAGTGGCTTCCAGCTCCTGGCCTCTCAGGCCCCCCTGCTCTTAGACACCAGTGCCTCCCCTCTCCCCCTCACTGCTTTGCCAAGCTCATTCCCACCTCGAGACCCTTTCCCTTGCGGCATCCTCTGCCCAGAAAGCCCCTCCCCCATCTTCTCCTGGCTGGCTTGTTCTTACCCTTCTGATCTAATCTCAAACATCACTTTTTGGGTGGACCCTATGTCAAGTAGCCCCCACTCCTTGATTATCCCAGTAATCTCTATTCTCTATGCATTTAGGACTACTTAGAATGATCTCGCTTGGTTTACATGTGAGTGGTCTGTCTAGTCCTCCCCAAAGGAAACCCCACGAGGTCGAGGGCCTCCTCTGGCTTGTTCACCTTGGTCTCCCTGGAGCATTCCTCAATAGTTACTTGTTGAATGGATGAGGGATTTGGTGACCTCATCCTCCTGGGAATTCCTCTGATTAAAGGGGTGGGTTCTGGGTGTCATCTTAGCACCTAAGCTTTCCAGCGGGCCTTAACTATTACCCCATCCAGACGACCTTTGGCCTAGGGGAAGACTAAGGCTGGGACAGAAGCATTCTTTCCTTCTGTCTGTCTTATGGACAGTGCTTTGTGCCCTCCACCTTCTATTCATTCTCCGGTACTTCCAAGGTCATACATGCTTTCCTCCTCCTAATCTCATTTCGGCTGGCCAGCTCTCTCAGAACTGGAGGAGGGGAGGGGCACTACTAAAATCAGTGATTTCTGAGATTTGAGAGGTCCTCAGGGACCGTTTGGCCAAAGGAGTCATGTGACAGAGAGACATGTGACAGATGGGGAAACTGAAGCCTACAGCAGGGAAAGAATGTGTCCAGGAGAATTGGTGGCAGATCACAGGGAGAAGTCATCAGACTGGGAGATATAACCCTGGGGGTTCATTGAGACCCCTAAAATTACATAAATAATATTGTTTAAAGATTTTATTTGAGAGAGAGAGAGCACAAGCAGGGGGAGCAGCAGAGGGAGAGGGAGAAGCAGGCTGCCCACTGAGCATCAGGCTCCATCCCAGGACCCTGGGATCATGACCTGAGCCGAAGCCAGATACTTCACCGACTGAGCCACCCAGGCACTCCTAAAATTACACAAATAATGTTATGGTTAGTCATTTTTCTGAGAAGGTTCATCAATGTCTTAAGGGGTTTGATACCTTAGAAGTTAAGAACACTTTAAGGGGCATGGACTCCTTTGAGAAAACCATAACTGAACTCCTTGGGGTGTCTTGTTACTGTCCTCCTAGTAAATAGCTGTGCCAGACTCATAGCAGATGTCCCCAAACTGGCTATTGAATGAGTGAATGAATGAATGAAATGGGTAAGGAGTGAATAGATTAACGGACTGATAAATGAACCCATCTCCTCCATTTAATTCCAGTGCTCTTTTGACCAAGTCACAAATGCAAGAAGTTAGCCCTAGCCCAACAAGGACCAAGGCCGTTGGATCCCTCACCTGACTGCCCCGCCCCTCCAAGATGGTCTCTCAGACCGGCTGCGCATAAGTGCTTTCTGGGTTGGACAGACCTTGAGAAGCAATCTCTGAGCCCTCTGTTGGACCAGGCTGTCAGCTGACCTGAAGATAATCCTATTGTATGTAAAAGACTCAAACTTTCCTGGTCTGACTGCAAGACAATCTCTTGCTCAGCTCCAGTCCTTGGCAACGCAGGTCGGGGCTGGACACAGACAGGGACAGGAGCCAGAGAGGGGTGAGTAGCTAGAAGTCCAAACTTTCCTGCCTTTTCTGGGCATGGACTAGTGATTCTCCTTGGGGGTGGTTTGGTTTGGGACACAATAAGGTCTATTTCTTAAAAAAAAAAATCACCAAGTACGTTGTGTTTTAGACCTCAGTCACAGTGGCCCAGAAACACCCAGACCAGGGTTCTGGGACAACTGAGAAAGGAAGAGTTGGACCCAGGGCTGGGGAGACTGAGAGGTGGAGAGTGCGTGGGGGTGGGCCCAGGGGCTGTCAACTTGGAGGTGTTGCTGTCACCACCCCTATTCTGAGGAGAGCTTGGTGGGACTCTCATGAGGAGCTCTGAGACCTTCGTGCATTATCCAACAGCAGCTGCTGGGGAAGAGCACCGTACGTGGAATCTGGAAGCTTGGATCTGAGTCTTAGCTTGACTTCCTAGAAGCTGAAAGGGCCTGGTCTTGGGAGACAGAACAGGGTTCAAACTCTGGCTCTCCCTTTGCCGCCTAGGGCAAGCGGCTTCATTTTTGAGCCTCCGTTTCCTCGTCTCGAAGAGTGGGAGCCTGATCCATTTTGATCCCCACCACCCTGTTAGCTCCTTGCCCTGGTATTTGGCGACATGCTCGGGAGGAGGGAATGTCCCATGTTGCAATGGATCGCCCCGAGGGCAGTGCATACCCCAGACTCCTTCTGGATCAGGCAGCCTACTGTTTCTTGGTCTAACCTCGAGGCCTCCTGTCCTGGCTCAGGGCCTAGGAGAGTGAAGTGCTTATTCTGTTGTTATCTTCCCTCCCCTGGAGTCTTTGGTCCTTCTCAAGCTTAGATTCCACAAATGCAGCTGGTTCATAAAGTGGATGGAGCAAAATGAGCTTCTCACCCACCTGCCAGAGGCTGGGTGCAGGCCTGGAGAAAGGGGCTTACGGTACAGATGGAATGATACCAGAAGACGTTTCTTGTACCCCACTGAAGGCTTTCTGGATCATTTAAAGCTCCCAGGTGATTCCAATATGCAGCAAAGCTTGAGCACCAGGAGGCTCGAGGAAGGGAGCTTGGAAGCCTGGGCTCCCACACAAACAGCTGACTGGCGTAAATAACGGGTAATATACGGGAGGTGGCATGTGGGAGAGCTGTGGAGCAGGGGGCCCAGAGCCAAGAGCTCTGGTCCTAATCCTACTCCTCCTCTGGGACACCCAGCTGCTCTGGCCAATACACAGCCCTCCCGGGGCCTTAGCTTCAGGCTGGCACGAGGAGGGGCTTGGGTCCAAGCCTTGGTTAAGATCAGAATCACTGGGGTGCTTATAAAAAAGACTCCAGGGGCGCCTGGGTGGCTCAGTTGGTTAAGCAACTGCCTTCGGCTCAGGTCATGATCCCGGAGTCCTGGGATGGAGTCCCACATCGGGCTCCCGGCTCAGCGGGGAGCCTGCTTCTCCCTCTGACCCTCTCCCCTCTCATGCTGTTTCTCTGTCTCTCTCTCTTTCTCTCAAATAAATAAATAAATAAAATCTTAAAAAAAAAAAAAAAGACTCCAGGAGCTCCAGAGGGTTGGGGGGCTCAGTCAGTTAGGCATCAGACTCTTGATGTCATCTCAGGTCATAATCTCAGGGTCATGAATTCAAGCCCCGGGTTGGGCTCCATGCTGGGTGTCGAACCTACTTTAAAAAAAAAAAAAAAAAAAGACTACAGAGTCCTGGAGCCTAATTCAGGGGGTCTGAGGCTGGTTCTGGAATCCAGACCAAGGAGCCTAGTGTACTTGATATGTGGCCCTCTACTGGTGGGGAGGGTCCTACTGTCTTTCCATCAGTGGGACCTGACTGGATCTGGATGTGACTTGTCCTGGATCCCCTATCTCACAGACTGGGAGGGGATGAAGCTTCCAGAGAGGACTCCTTATTCACTATTCCAGGATACTGACACCAAGCTGTCACTGAGGGATCTGTATCTGCCTGCAAGGCTTTGTAGGGGCAAGGGGACTGCCCTTCACAATACTGCCTGATCCCATGTGATAAGTGCTCCGCCCAATCCCCTGACATTTGCCAAGCACTGGGATAGCCTTTGGAGCTGACCCTGGTGGGGGAGAACATAAGGAGTTCTGCTGTGCTGAAGCTTCCTAGAAGCTGACCAGTAACCATCCCTCCTCCCACGCCACTCCATAGTGGTCTTGAGAAAAGGGAGAACCCACAAGCACATGAACTGAACCCTAGGTTGCCTGAGGCCTGGGGTTTCCAGCTTGCCTGCACACCCCTGGTTTTTCTTCTGCATCGGTTTCTGGCAGCTAGGGCAGGGTGGGGACCAGAGAATGGGAATTTATGGGACAGGCAGTCTTGGTGGGGTAGAATAAGTGAAAGTGAAAGTTCTTAGGAAGTTTATTTCTAAGAAAAGAGTAGCGAAATCAGTTGGTGGGGAAACCAAGCCATGGATCTCCTTCCAGTTTCCTTCCCCACCCCATGTGGAGTGAGAAGTGGAGAAGAGAAAGAAAGGTCTGTAGACAGGTCAGCCCTTGCAGTAAGCCCCCCATGCTGGACTCGGGCCTGAACTCCCTCTCCCGTCTGTAGGAGGGGATCTGGGGTTTCCTGGCCAGTCCTCAGGGTTAGGGAGTTCCTTCTGAAATACAGGTGGGATTTCCCTCAGTTGCCGGTGAAATCAGAAAAGTCGCCACTTAGAAACAGAGCTTTGTGTGGAGGTGCTTTCAGCTCCGCTGGGGACCAAACCTCGGGAGCTGGGACTTCCACAAACACTTCGGTCATTGTGAAAATGTAGAGCCCCTCAGGTTCTGGTCCCTTCTGGTGGGGCTTTTTTAGCATGATGCCCTTTGTCTGTCCTCCAAGGGGTCTTTGCATTTTCTTGAAACAGTTGGCTGGTGTTCCTTTAAGGGCTTGAAGGGCGAGTGGGCCCTTGAGCTAGCTCTGTGAGGACCGTGGCTGGCCGGCGGCTCCATGGGCCCGGATGCTGTTGGCACAGGACCTCGGATACTCCACAGGCATTGCTAAGTCAGCGAACCTGGCACTGTTCTCTGCAAGTCCCCAAACCCCACAAAAACATGCAAGTCCAGCCGTAGGGCATCAGGAGAGAAGAGCACGTAGCCCTTTGGAAAGGCTAATCATGAAGACGAGGAAGGAAGATAGAAAAATATAAATGGTGCAGAAATATTATCCGGTAAGTATGTTGTGGTTGCTTCTGCTATAAAATATGATGTGTAGGGCACCTGGGTGGCTCAGTTGGTTAAGCGACTGCCTTCGGCTCAGGTCATGATCCTGGAGTCCCTGGATCGAGTCCCGCATCGGGCTCCCTGCTCAGCAGGGAGTCTGCTCTTCCCTCTCCCGCTCCCCCCTCTTGTGCTCTTTCTCTCTCTCACTCTCTCTCTCAAATAAATAAATAAAATCTTTAAAAAAAAATATGATGTGTAGGTTGTAGTAAGGAGCTGGAAGGAAAGACAGATGGAAAGGGTTGTGCTAAGACAGTGAGATTAGGGGCAGTGACCGGTGAAGGTTTTTCTTAAAATTTAATTGTTGCAACATCATTATAATATAAAAACCAAACCTCTGCGGCAGCGTTCATGATAGGCATAATCGGGGTTACGGGTGGCTGAAAGTCCTTTACTTGTCCTGGCTACACAGAGCTTCCCAAGGGCCAGATTCCATTTGTTCATGCCTCACTGCAGGGCCCCACACCAAGCACATAGTAGGTGCCCAATAAATACTTAGCTGAATAAAGAAATTAAAAAATCTAATAAATAAATAAATAAATAAATAAATACCATGACCTCTTGCCTTGATTTCATGTAAGTTCATTCCTTTCAGTTAAAGCGGTTTAAGTAAATGCATAATAAAAAAATTTCACTTTTTTTAAAAAAATATTTTATTTATTTGACAGAGAGAGAGATAGCGAGAGCAGGACCACAAGCAGGGGGAGTGGGAGAGGGAGAAGCAGGCTTCCCGCCGAGCAGGGAGCCCGATGTGGGATTCGATCCTGGGACTCTGGGATCACGACCCGAGCTGAAGGCAGACGCCCAGCGACAGAGCCACCCAGGCGCCCAAATTTCACTTTTTTTTTTTTTTATCTTTAGCTTTTCATGGATGTGAATAAAATCGCAAAAAGAGAGAAAATCCTTGTCCACATGGGGATCCCATTCTAGGTTCAGAGTCCTGTGAGGGTGATAAAGGCTTGCCTTCAGGGAGGAGTGGCTGCCTAATTGACTTCCCCCTTTGGTCTTCCATTTGACCTCCCTCTTGATCCAAGTAGAAGCCTCTGTGGAGCTGGGAGGTAGGCATTCGCTACCACCTTTCCCTTCCCGGGGTCCTGGGTGCCTAGGGTCATGACTCGGCCATTGTCACCGAGGCCTTTTCGTCAGCACATGGCAGGATTTGACCTGTAGACAAAGAACAAGTAGGGTGTTTTTGGTTTCGTTTGGCATTTGCTAACTGGTAAAGGTCCTGCCTCAGAATATTCCCTCACTAACCACCCCCTGTCTAAAATAAAACCACTAGTTCCTCCTTGAGGGTAAGGTTTTAAAAGCTCCCAGTCAGGCACAGATCTGGAAAGGGAGGTTCTCTGAGCCATTTCTCCAGGGGAAAAAGAACGACAAGGTGACTCAGCTCTGGGAAAATTAACCACCAGATCACATTGGGGGATATTGTACCTGGGAGCCATGGGGCGTTCCTATTGGGTGGGGGCTGGGGGTGCGGGCAGTGAAAGAATTCACCCAAGGCAGAACAAAGAAGATACTCATGATGTGCCCCTAGCAAGGGATGCCGAGAGCGATTCTATTTTTTTTCTAGAGAGTCTCCTTGGACTACTAATATTAAGTTCTATATCCAGCCAGTTGGTCCCTCAACTAGCAAGACCCCAAAAGAATGGAATCCAGCATACTGGATGGTTGACTTCTTACCCATCGTTTTCCAAGCCGTGCACTAAGGGCCCTGCACACAATCTTCCCTCAGTCTTTCAACCACTCTGTGAGGTAGGGAACATTCCTACTTTACAGGAACAAAAGCCAAGGCTCAGAGATGTGATTTGCCCAGGATCATGCAGCTAACTAGAGTAATGGTAATGAATAGCTAACAATCACTGAGCACTTACTAAGAGGGCTTCTGGTTTGAACCCACTCAGTCCTCATAACATCCTTGTGAAGGAGGTGACATCAGCCCATTTGAACAAGTGTGGAATCTGGAGTACAAGAAGGTTATCTTAACGCCCTCGCCGTATATGGTGAGGGTTGGCTCCAGCTCTTCCTGGTCCACAGGCATGTACTGAGAACTGGCTGTGTGCCAGGAACATCCAGCTGCCCTGGTGATCAGACCCAGTCACTGCCCTCGTGGAGCATCCTTGTTGGCTTCACCGCACCAGGACGGTGTGGAGACGGGCCGGAGTGGAAAAAGGGTTGGGACAGCCAGGGGTAGAACTTCCAGAGGATGCAGGGCCCAGGTGGGGAGCAGCCCTGCCTTCAGTTGCCCCTGCCTGGGGATGGCCATTGAGTGGCCTTAACCTCATCCTTTGTGGCCACCCTCAGGTAATGATTATCCTCTTTGGGGGACTGAGGCAAGAGGTCAGGTGTCTCGAGAGCCCCATCATCTCCGGGCCTTCAACCTCCGTGGGCTCTTCACATGCCCATTGTGGGGGTTTTCCCTATCTCTGTTTCACATACACACCGCAGAAGAAGAGAAGCTGCCAGTGGATCGTATCAGAGAAGCTCCCCACAAGGAGATTTTGAGACCAGGATTACGTTTCTGCTGGGAAGGAATTGCACCTCAGCTGACCAAATTCTGTCCTCAGCTTCCTCATCAGTACAGGCCTCAAACTGTCTTCAGTTTCCAGATCTAGTGTGTCTCCTTGTAGCCTCTGTCTCTGCTAAGATAACCCTTTCGGTCCCTATTCCAGCCCTCTGCCTCTGGGAAATCACGCGTACTTTTAAGGACTTCCAACTATACCACACCCAAATGGTAAGAGCGCCCATTTACTGGGTGCTGACTTTGTTCTTTATTATCATGTGCCCAGTCTTCACACGGATACACTTGTTTGATCCCCAGTGTTCCTAGGAGTTTGCAATCATCACCCCATTTAATGATGGAAAAACTGAGGCACGCATGGTTAACCCACACACCTAACATCACAGCTAGGAAGTGACAGGTTGGAACCCCCGAGGTCTCAGGCCAAGCCTGACCCCCAACCACTCCATTTTTCTTGCCACTGTATGACCCTAATGTTTAGAATTCACAGGAATTGGGAAAAGGAACACCAGCTTTGTCCAATGAATGTTGGAGCTTTATTTGTTTGCTTTTTTTTCTTTTTAATCAAAAGATGACTTTAAAGTTGGACGTCTCAAATTTCCTCTGGTTCTGTTCTTGTGTTGCATCTCCTTCTAAGGAAGGCGTTCTTTTGAAATTTCACTGAACGCTCTTCTACTCAGAAAGAGGCACATTTTCTCTTGCTCTGTCACCTATAGAAATGGGAGACCGCTGATCAGCCAGTTCTTCCACTTGCTGGAAAATAGTCTTACAAGGTCTCAAAACCTCTTTGAGCCTGTTTTTCTCTGAAGCAAGAGGGACCTGGCCCCTTGCCACTAGACTGGTTTCCAGTCAGAGTTTTCCAGCCTCTCTCCTTCCTGAGAATTTTATTTTACCTTAATTTGCTATTTTCATATTCTAGAACAGTTAGAAATGAAATAAAAGTCTAAAGAAGTAGGGAAATAAAATAATCCCTAAGATCTCCTCTCCTGACCTTTTTATACGGGCTAGACTTGACTTTGAACCTGAGGGAGGGCCTGCCTGTATGCTTGGCACGGCAAGGGCCTGTGACAGGGACACAATCCTTGCCCTGAGATTCTTACCGTCTGAGCTGGCGAATGCAGAGAACAGCTTTCAACATTTTCCATTTTAACCAGTATTTACTGAGCATCCACTGTGATTTACTGAGCATCCACAGGGATTCTTCTGCATGCTTGGTGTACATCAGCAAACAAAAGATCCCTATCCTCGTGGAGCTTACATTCTAGTGGGGAAGGCAGACCATGAGTTGATACATGCTAAAGAAAAAAAGAAGAGGAAGTGGGCTGGGGTATGGGGTGCGTGGGAGGAGGCTGCAGTATGAAATGGGGGTCAGGGTTAGCCTTCCTAAGGTCATATTTGGGGCGCCTGGCTGGCTCAGTCAGTAAGAGCATGCAACTCTTGATCTTGGGGTCATGAGTTCAAGCCCCACATTGGGTGTAGGGTTTAGTTAAAAAAATAAAAAAGTCAGAGTTGAGTCAAGACTTGAAAAAGATGAGAGATTTAGCCATGTGGGTATCTGGGAATGGAGTGTTTCAGGTGGGAGGAATAGCTAAAATCTCAAAGAAACAAAATACAACACAAACATCAGGAAGGGGCCACCAGAAAGATAAGTCTGAGAAAGGGCCAAGGGGAGGAAGGAGGGCTTGCATGCCTATGCTAATCACATGGTGGTGGCTCCGTTGGGTGGGGTGATTTATCCGACCCTGGGGACGAGGCTCTGCCCAAAGCTCTAGGCCAATGGAAATCAGCTCTGACCCAGGCTCTTTCACAACTGGGACACGGCCTTGCGTGAGCCGTATACTCCCTGGGCCTTAGTGGCCTCAGCTGTAAAAGAAGACAGCTACCATCGGACCACTCTCCGGTGTCCTGCCTCCTTGCCCCCTGAGTGCTCTTTGTAGTACTAATAGTAATAATTATAATAATGTCACAAATAAGATGATGATTGCAGCATCTTTCTGGGATGAATAAGTTAATTGTTCTTTTTTTTTTTTTTTTTTTAAGATTTTACTTATTTATTTGACAGAGAGAGACACAGCGAGAGAGGGAACACAAGCAGGGGGAGTGGGAGAGGGAGAAGCAGGCTCCCCGCAGAGCAGGGAGCCCGATGCGGGGCTCGATCCCAGGACCCCGGGACCATGACCTGAGCCGAAGGCAGTCGCTCAACCAACTGAGCCACCCAGGCGCCCCAAGTTAATTGTTCTTACGACTGAGACTTTTTTTTTTTTTTTTTTTTTTACGACTGAGACTTTTAAAAACCAAAAGCAAAACCATTTAACTTCCGTGGTTTCTGAGGAAAAGAGGGGCAAGAGCCTGGCCTTTAGTCAGGAAAAAAAAATGAAGTGAAAAAGGCAAAAGGCTTTGTGGGACCAGCATTTAACCGTCTTCCCTTTTTGTGGGAACTGTGTTCCAAGAGGGCCCCTCTTGGCTGCTCCTGAGGGTATTTCCTTAGCTGAGGTTCAGAACATCTGCAAGCAGCCAACTGTCAGTTTGGGAAGGTTTGGGAAGTATTATGCAAAAGGTAAAAGAAACGGTCTTTGACAAACGTTAAAAAGACAACCTGCCAGGGGCGCCTGGGTGGCTCAGTCGGTTGGGCGACTGCCTTCGGCTCAGGCCATGATCCTGGAGTCCCAGGATCGAGTCCCGCATCGGGCTCCCTGCTCGGCGGGGAGTCTGCTTCTCCCTCTGACCCTCCTCCCTCTCATGCTCTCTGTCTCTCATTCTCTCTGCCTCAAATAAATAAATAAAATCTTAAAAAAAAAAAAAAAAAAGACAACCTGCCGAAGTTTCCTAGCCTTTAGGCTGTAGGGGCCAGAGACATAAAACTGTGTTCTCACCATCCACTGAGTTGCTAAAAGGAGGGATTTGAGAGCACCGTATTGTCAGACACTTGGTTTTGCCCCAAACTCCAGGACTTGGGGCCCTGTGATTCTAGGGAAGGGCTCTTCCTACTCATGACAGACGGGAGTGTTTGGTGTTTTAATGCCAGGGCAGAGGTGGGATGGGCTTGCCGGGGACATAGGACTAACAAAGAGAAGATCCCCCGCAGAAAGCACATCCAGAAAGGAGAGCTCATATGAGGGGTCACAGGAAGTGGGCTGGGGTATAGAGTATGAAATAAGAGTCAGGGTCTGAAGTCAGATTGCCAAAAGCCCAGTCCCACCTCTGTGCCTCAGTTTCCTCATCTGTATAATAGATACACAATGATGCCTACTTCACAGGGCAATTGGAATAAGCAAATGAATTAATACACATGAAGTCCTTGGTATAGTACCTATGTCCTAATAAAATAGCCAACAGTGGATGCTTTGGGTAGTATGAGTTCTTCTTCTTCTTTTTTTTTTTTTCTTCTTCAGATGTATTTATTTATTTGTCAGAGAGAGAGGAGCACAATCAAGGAGAGTGGCAGGCAGAGGGAGAAGCAGACTCCCTGCTGAGCAAGGAGCCTGATGCAGGACTCAATCCCAGAACCCTGGGATCATGACCCAAGCTGAAGGCAGATGCTTAACTGACTGAGCCACTCAGGCATCCCTGTATGAGTTATTTCTAAGCAATGTTTGAGTGTTTTTCATTGAGGCCTGCCTATTCAAGGAATGTTTTTCATGCAAGCATACTTTCAGGTTATGTATCTTTCTTCTTTCTAACCCAGATTTTCCTTAATCGTGAATCATCATTTTTTAAGCCAATGCTGTAGGAATATAACCCAAGTGTAGGGGCCAAGGGCAGGTTACCCCAAAATGTGCCACTTTGACATATCGATTGTTTTAAATAAAACACACTTAAGAGCGAGTCAATGCAAAAAGAATACTCTGAAGAAAAAAAAAAAAAAGAATACTCTGACCACCACCTTTGTTTCCGGAAAGCAAGAAGTAAATCTCCCCTGTGAAAGGTTCCCTCCCTGTTCCAAGAGGTAAAGATACATCCTTATCACCAGAGAGTGGAAATTTAGACCCAAGAAGTCTTTGGGTCTAATTACTTTCTGCTAATTTGCTATCCCAGCCCAAATTCCAATTAGTATTCCTTACTAATTGAAGCTCCCAAAGTTAAGTTTTCTTTGTATTGTCAATTCCTCACAGATTTATTGTCTCTCTGTCTAAAAAGTATAAAAACTGCCTGCCTTGGTCATTTCTTTGGGTCTCAATTTCATTATTGGACCTCCATGTGCACATAATTAAACTTTGGGATTTTTTCCTCCCATTAATCTCTCATGTCAATTTAATTCTTAGACCAGGTAGAAGAATCTTGAAGGGTATTGGGACATTTTTTCTCCCCTACACAGCCACAAAATGTACATCACTATATGTGATTTCAAATTTTCTAGTAGCCACATTTTAAAAAGTAAAACAAGACAGGTGACATTCATTTTAATAATATATTTTTAACCCAATATATCCAAAATATTTCAACATATAGTCAATATAAAAATTAATAAGATTTTACATTTTCCCTTATTGTATCTTTGAAATCCAATGTATATTTTACAAATATAGCATATCTCAATTCAGATTAGCCAAGTGCTTACTAGACAAATGTGGTTACCATGTTGAACAGTGCAATTCTAAGTGATGGGAGGATGGTTCTTGGCAGTGAGCTGGGGTGGGTTACTCAGGCTGGGCCCTGAGTCCCTCCCAATCACCACCATGAAATCCAGAAAGGCCTCTGGGTTGGGGGTCTTCTGGTCATATGGAATGAGGAGGATCTTGATGCAAGCCCTGCAAGTTCAAGAGTGTGGTTTTAGATTGTGATCTATTGAGCAAACTCTTGCTTGCCCATAACGGTCTTTTCCTTTCTCCCCACCAGCCCCATCCTGTCTGAAAACTACATCAGGAGTCCCTGGAGGTAGGAATTTTGCTGAATTGTTCTGCTTACATTCCCACCAGC